TGTGGACGCATTAAACGCTCTGTGTTGGTTGTTATGGGTTGAGTTGAACCACTAAAAGTATGTTAAAGTTGTTGTTCTTTTGTTATTTTTATTAAGCAGCTATGTAGAAACATGTCAAGATTATTTAAGTTAGCTTTTCCCGCTGATGTCAGGGTTATTTTTAAAATACCCGTTAAATGTGTCGAAGCGAAAGTAACGTCACCGTGACAAAAACACAAAGGAACGTGATTAAGAGTTTCATATACCAGCTGTGTGTCCTAAGGTATGGTTGTAAGGGGGTTAGAGAAGCGATAGTGAAGAGTTAGTTACAGCTGTAACCAGCGTTTTGAACGTTGTTACCAACAGACTCACATTACCTGGTCAGGTAGCATACAAATGTAACGTTAAACCAAAACGGACGTTGACGACACCACAAATGCTCGTCGTGCTATCATAATGGGTGTTATCTTACATTCCCACGTTTTAGACACATACGATACTAATTATAAACCAATTACGAAATGCCTGCTGTAACTAATACCCCTGACAGGATTATCACGTTATGTATTAACTTCCTTTGGTTGTGGTTTTCATGTATTTATGTACAGCTCAACAGTTTTAATAAATACTGTAAGCCGATATGCGTCGTTTTCCAGCATACCAGCCCAACGAGGTTTACTCTGTGTGTGAGCAACAATCTTGTCTTTACAGTTGATCCTTCAAATGTTTGTTTCAATTATCTGAGGCCTGCACTATAGAATAGGATTTTTTTTTATTCAGGTAACTTCACTACTGCTGGACGGTTCCTCTGACCTCTGACCTCAGATCGTAAGAGGCTCTGAAGTTTTTTAATAGCTTATAAAGTTTTTGTGTTAGATTTTTTTTAATCTGATGGCTTCAAACAATTTGAAAAAAACAATTTTATTTTTCTGTAAGCGTTAATGTATGATCCTAAAACAGAGCAGCTGTTTGAACTTGCTGACCAAATTTGCAGATGAACATATGCTTGAATTTTTTAGATATATTTATTTTTTACTCTCAGACTGTTAAACACCACCAAGGTTGTAGGTTAAAGAATAAGAACTAAAACTGTACTTTGAAAATTAATTTAATAAAATACTCAGTTATAATCCATCAGATTCTCCTGTCTGTAATGACAGAAACCTGATTTTGATAAGACTGTTAACTTACACAGTCAACAATCTTTCCTGACTTCAACTAGGTTAAATGTTATTAATATAGCACCTCTTTTCATTTATTCTTTCAGTTTGTGCTGTGTATAAACTGCAATGTATTTTCTCATAGTACAGTTTCATCTTACTTTTAATAATCAGCAGCTCTGTTGCCAGTACACTTATCAACAGTTGTAACTGATTAGATGAGCTAACTTAGTGAATTAATAACCTGCTTATCCTGATTGCTAATGTTAGGAGAAGTGAATCCAGATAACAGAAAGATACCGTCTGCGCATTAAACTTGGTTTGTAGTACAATACAATACAATTTTATTCTGTAGTAGAGACCTATGAGGATGTATTTATGTTTAGCCTTTTGTTGAAATCTGATATCCACAGTAAATACCGTGCTCTGTCACAAACTATTGTACCTCTGTTAGACTGAATTTCTGGTCTAAACTGCATTTGCCGCAAAGATGCTGAGAAGTGTTCTCATCCTCACACACGTTTGTGTGGATCATATGTGGCCATAAGAGAATAAAGAGGGAGCTGTGATCCTCCTTTTGTTCCTAACTGGTTCTGATTTTCTGATTCAGCAGACTTTATACGACCCTGTGACCCCTGGTTGCCAGGGAGCGAGAGGTGGGGCCATGGCTGCGGGGACTAGGGTCGAGGAGAACCAGCTCCAGAGGATTATCCGAGATTTGCATGGTTTGTCAGCTTTGTGTGTGTGTTTGAATGTGTGTGTGTGCAACTACACTGGCAGACGTCAGTTGTTAACTGACATGGCCTGACTGAGAAGAAGAGAAAGAGAGTTAGCAAGCTGGGATTTCAGGATGTCTGCCTTAGAGTCAAGTCTGAGTACAGTTTAGCAGAGGGAGACTGACTGACTCGCCCTTGTCAACAAACCATTTGGAAGCACAGGCATCTGACCTCATGTTTGTGTCGTAAGGGTGTGGTGGCAGCCTCTGTCAGCATGCAGCGAGACAGAGAATGCGTGCTCAGAGTGCATCCATCACGGGTGTCTTTCCAGTTTTTACGATGGATAAGAGGCAAGTTTTTATGTAAAAATCAGCTTTACTGGAAGAGCGTGACAGTAGAAGTGGTTAGAGTCATAGGTACCAGGACTATTTGAGTTTGTGTGTTACCAAAATGTACACTTTGCATTCACTCAGTTTCCTGTCTTAATAAATTAGCTGAATGAAGACATGCTGC